TGTAAATATTAATATAATATCAATGTCATCACCATAAGAGGTCCATATTGTTACTTTTAGAATAGTCTTTCATGCCATTTGCCCCAGAATCAAGACAAAATACATCTCATTAAATGCATTAAAAGCTTTTGTACTTTCCTTTTGCGCAAAGTGCCTTCACTGTACTGGAAAATACCAGTTTGAGGCAAATACCACAAAGTGCGTACTTCATTTGCTTGTGAAATACCCATCTTTTTCAAGCTTTGTGTTTTTACCTCAAGTACCTGTTCCATGGGTGTGTATGGTTTTTTTTTTCAAGTGTGAGGTCATTTGTGAAAAATGTATTGAAAAACAGTCGTGCCATGGCATATCAAAACCTGTTTTTACGTAATGATCTAGATATTTTAAAAATCAGCCCTGTCTTAAAACACACAGTGCATGTTTGTTTCTGGGTTTGTTTGTTTTCTTGTTCCTTCTCTTGTCCTGCCTCTGAGGTGAGTGGGAGAGACTTTGCCGTGAAAGTTGGCAACATTCCTTGGCAATGACACAAAAGTATCACCTTTACTGCTCATTTTTTTTTATCTCATGAAAAACGCACAGAGCTGAACCAGATGTTCAGTTTCTGGAAAGTGCATGCAGTACTTGAATGAAGGTTAAGAATCTCGTCATTGTCCTGAAAATCATTCATTATTATTGTATTTTTGTACAGTGCTTATAGAAGAGATATTTTAACTCAAACTACTGGTGTTGGATGTTCTGTTTATCTACACTATAGTATATTTAAGTTGATAGAATACAACGTAGTGAACATTACTCATGGCAACAACCCAGCTCTTGTGTACAGATGTCTGTTGTTGCTCCTTATGATAATGAACAATTACTTTTTTTTTGGCACAGGTTTCTAATCTTTTGGAATGATCTCCCAACAATGTGTTTATAGAACAACAAATGTAAAAAAAAAAAAAAAAAAAACAAACAAAAAGGTTTTTAAAAAAGAATATGCTGAATTAGTATTATGTTATATGGATCAGCAATAGAACGGACAAACAGAATGTTTTGTTTGTCACTGGAACCCATGCATACAAGTCAAGTTCCAGTCCCGTGAGTGTCGGTGAGGAGATCCCTGTGTGTTCCAGAGGTGTCTCAGACAGGCGTGTTGCCTCACCTGGTCCTGTATTTACCTCAGATGGTAGGATTAGGAAGTGGCCATGTGGAAGATATGACTCTAATCCATTGTGCCTTTACTGGCACTCAGAAACAGCCCTCTGCAACACTTCCGCTCTCCTGAAGGTAAAGCAACGCCCTTAAGGAATGTGAGAAATATCAACAGCATTTTGAGACTCTCAGACTGTGATACAGCAGTATTTGGACAGCTACCTCGTTTTTTTTTTTTTTTGGCCTGACAGTTATTTCTACACTTTGCCATATAGCATCAACATGGGTGATCTTTGACTCCTGAGGCTACAGTGTTTGGTATTTTTATCTGAAACAAGTTTTCCTCTTTAATTGTGCCAAAATCGATAAGC